TGCCCTCCATAATGACCATCACACAGTTACCCCATTCCCCCACCCCCTCCCCTCCAGCAACCCTCAGTTTGTTTCCTATGATTAAGAGTCTCTTATGGTTTGTCTCCCTCTCCGATGTCATCTTTATTTTTCCCTCCCTTCCCCTATGATCGTTTTGTGTCTTAAATTCCACATGAGTGAGATCATATAATTGTCTTTCTCAGATTGACTTACTATGCTTAGCACAATACCCTCTAGTTCCATCTACATTGTTGCAAATGGCAAGATTTCAATTTTTGATGGCTGCATAATATTCCACTGTATATATACACACCACATCTTCTTTTCCCATTCATCTGTCTATGGACATCTGGGCTCTTTCAATAGTTATTGTGGACATTGCTGCTGTAAACATTGGGGTGCAGGTGCCCCTTCGGATCACATTTGTATCTTTCGGGTAAATACCCAGTAGTGCAATTGCTGGGTCATAAGGCAGCTCTATTTTCAACTTTCTGGGGGAACTCCATACTGTCTTCCAGAGTGGCTGCACCAGCTTCCATTCCCACCAACAGTGTTAAGAGGGTTCCCCTTTCTCCGCATTCTCGCCAACATCTGTCATTTCCTGACTTGTTAATTTTAGCCATTCTGACTGGTGTGAGGTGGTATCTCATTGAGGTTTTGATTTATATTTCCCTGATGCCAAGTGATGTTGAGCATTTTTTCATGTGTCTGTTGGTCATTTATATGTCTTCTTTGGAGAAATGTGTGTTCATGTCTTCTGCCCATTTCTTGATTGGATTATTTGTTCTTTGGGTGTTGAGTTTGATAAGTTCTTTATAGATTTTGGATACTAGTCCTTTATCTGATATGTCATTTGCAAATATCTTCTCCCATTCTGTCGGTTGTCTTTTGGTTTTGTTGACTGTTTCCTTTGCTATGCAAAAGCATTTTATCTTGATAAAGTCCCAAGAGTTCATTTTTGCCTGTTTCCCTTGCCTCTGGAGACGTGTCTAGCAGGAAGTTGCTGTGACTGAGGTCAAAGAGGTTGCTGCCTGTGTTCTCCTCTAGGATTTTGATGGATTCCTGTCTCACATTTAGGTCTTTCATCCATTTTGAGTCTATTTTTGTGTATGGTGTAAGGAAATGGTCCAGTTTCATTCTTCTGCATATGGCTGTCCAATTTTCCCAACAGCATTTGTTGAAGAGACGGTCTTTTTTCCATTGGATATTCTTTCCTGCTTTGTTGAAGATTAGTTGACCATAGAGTTGAGGGTCTATTTCTGGTTCTCTATTCTGTTCCATTGATCTATGTGTCTGTTTTTGTGCCAGTACCATACTGTCTTGATGATGACAGCTACATAATATATCTTAGACTCCAGAATTGTGATGCCACCAGCTTTTGTTTTCTTTTCCAACATTCCTTTGGCGATTTTGGGTCTTTTCTGGCTCCATACAAATTTCAGGATTATTTGTTCCAGCTCTGTGAAAAGAGTTGATGGTATTTTGATAGGGATTGCACTGAATGTGTAGATTGCTCTAGGTAGCACAGACATTTTAACAATATTTGTTCTTCCAATCCACGAGCATGGAACGTTTTTCTATTTCTTTGTGTCTTCCTCAATTTCTTTCATAAGTGTCCTATAGTTTTCTGAGTACAGATCCTTTTCCTCTTTGGTTAGGCTTTTTGTTTTTTCTTAAGATTTATTTGAGACAGAGACAGCACGAGCAGTGGAAAGGGGCAGATGAGAGGGTCCCTGCTGAGCAAGGAGCCCAACCTGGGGCTCGATCCTAGGACCCTGAGATCATGACGTGAGCAGAAGGCAGACACTTAACCAACTGAGCTACCCAGATGCCCCTCTTTAGTTAGGTTTATCCCTAGATATCTTATGGTTTTTGGTACAACTGTAAATAGAATAGACTCCTTAATTTCTCTTTCTTCTGTCTCATTGTTAGTGTATAGAAACGCAACTGATTTCTGTGCATTAATTTTATATCCTGCTACTTTGCTGAATTCCTGTATGAGTTCTAGCAATTTGGGGGTAGAGCATCACGTCATCTGCAAAGAGTGAGAGTGTGTCTTCTTTGCTGATTTGGATGACTTTTATTTCTTCTTCTTGTCTGATTGCTGAGGCTAAGACTTCTGGTACTATGTTGAAGAGCAGTGGTGATAGTGGACATCCCTACCATGTTCTTGATCTTAGTGGAAAAGCTCAGTTTTTCCCCACTGAGAATGATATTCCCTGTGGGCTTTTCGTAGATGGCTTTTATGATATTGAGGTATGTTCCCTCTATCTCTACACCATGAAGAGTTTAAATTAAGAAAGGATGCTGTACTTTGTCAAATACTTTTTCTGCATCTATTTAGAGATCATATGGTTCTTATCCTTTCTTTTGTTAGTACAGTATATCACAATGATTACTTTGTGGATGTTGAACCACCCTTGAAGCCCAAGAATAAATCCCACTTGGTCATGATGAATAATCCTTTTAATGTACTACTGGATCCTATTGTCTAGTCTCTTGGTGAGAATTCTGGCATCCATGTTCATCAGGAATATTGGTCTGTAATTCTCCTTTTTGATGGGGTATTTGTCTGGTTTTGGGATCAAGGTAATGCTGGCCTCATAGAAAGAGTTTGGAAGTTTTCCTTCCACTTCTATTTTTTGAAACAGCTTCAGAAGAACAGGCATTATTTCTTCTTTAAATGTTTGGCAGAAATCCCCTGGGAAGCCATCTGGCCCTGGAATCTTATCTGTTGGGAGATTTTTGATTACCCCTTCAATTTCCTTGGGGGTTATGGGTCTGTTCAGATGTTCTATTTCTTCCTGGTTCAGTTTTGGTAGTTTATACCTCTCTAGGAATGCATCCATTTCTTCCAGACTGCCTAATTTGTTGGCATACTGTTGCTCATAACATGTTCCCTTAGTGTTGGTTGTGATCTCTCCTCTTTCATTCATGACTTTATTTATTTGGGTCCTTTCTCTTTTCTTTTTGATAAGTCTGGCCAGGGGTTTATCAATCTAATTCTTTCGAAGAACCAGCTCCTAGTTTCTTTCATCTGTTTTACTGTTCTTTTGGTTTCTATTTTGTTGATTTATGCTCTAATCTTTATTGATTCTCTTCTCCTGCTGGGTTTAGGCTTTACTTGCTGTTCTTTCTCCAACTCCCTTAGCTGTTAAGTTTAGGTTGTATATTTGACACCCTTCTTGTTTCTTGAGAAAGGCTTGTATTGCCATATACTTCTGTCTTAGGACCACCTTTGCTGCATCCCAAAGGTTTTGAAAAGTCGTATTTTCATTTGTTTCCATTAATTTTTTAAATTCTTCTTTAAATTTCCTGATTGACCCATTCATTCTTTAGTAGGATGTTCTTTAAGCCCCCTGTATTTGAGTTCTTTACAAATGTCCTCTTGTGAGAGTTTAAGTTTCAAAGCGTTGTGGTCTGAAAATATGCGGGGAATGACCCCAATTTTTGGTACCAGTTGAGACCTGATTTGTGACCCAGTATGTGATCTCTTCTGGAGAAAGATCCATGTGCACTCGAGAAGAATGTGTATTCTAGTTGCTTTAGGATGGAATGCTTTGAATGTTATCTGTGAAGTCCATCTGGTCCAGTGTGTCAGTCAAAGCCCTTGTTTCTTTGTTGATCTTCTGCTTAGATTCTGTCCATTTCAGTGAGGGGGGTGTTAAAGTCCCCTACTATCTTGTATTATTATCGATGTATTTAATCTTGTTATTAATTGGTTTATATAACTGGCTGTTTCCATGTTAGGGGCATAAATATTTACAACCGTTAGATCTTGTTGGATAGACCCTTTAATTATGACATACTGTCCTTCCTCATCATTACAGTCTTTGGTTTAAAATCTAATTGTCTGATATAAGTATTACTACCTGAGCTTTCTTTTGATGTCCATTAGCATGATAAGTGGTTTTCCACCCCCTCACTTTCAATCTGGAGGGAACTTTGGGTCTAAAATGAGTCTTCTGCAGACAGCATATTGATGGGTCTTGCTTTTTTATCCAATCTGATACCCTGTGTCTTTTGATTGGGGTATTTAGCTCATTTAAGTTCAGAGTTAACTACTGAAAGATATGAATTTTGTGCCCTTGTATTGTCTATAGTCACTATTTATGTATATTGTCTCTGTTCCTTTCTGGTCTATGTCACTTAAAAGATCCCCTTTAATATTTCTTGCAGGGCTGATTTAGTGATCACAAATTCTTTTAGTTTCTGTTTGTCCTGGAAGCTTTTTGTCTCTCCTTCTATTTTGAATGACAGCCTTGCTGGATAAAGTATTCTTGGCTGCATATTTTTCTTATTTAGCACCCTGAATATATATATCATGCCAGTTCTTTCTGGCCTGCCAGGTCTGTGGGTAGGTCTGCTGCCAGTCTAATATTTCTACCCTTGTAGGTTACAGACCTCTTGTCCCGGGCTGCTTTCAGGATTTTCTGTCTCTTGAGAGTTGCAAGCTTCACTATTATATGTCGAGGTGTTGACCTATTTTTATTGATTCTGAGGGGGGTTCTCTGTGCCTCCTGGACTTGAATGCCTGCTTCCTTCCCCAAATTAGGGAAGTTCTCTGCTATAATTTGCTCCAATATACCTTCTGCCCCCCTCTCTCTTTCCTCTTCTTCTGGGATCCCAATTATTCTAATATTGTGCTGCTTCATGGTATCACTTATTTCTCGATTTCTCCTTTTGTGATCCAGTAGTTGTTTATCTCTTTTTTTCTCAGCTTCCTTATTCTCCATCATTTTGTCTTCAATATCACTAATTCTTTCTTCTGCCACGTTTATCCTAGCAGCTAGAGCCTCCATTTTTGATTTCATCCCATTAATAGCCTTTTTGATTTCGACTTGGTTAGATCTTAGTTCTTTTATTTCTCCAGAAAGGGATTCTCTAGAGTCTTCTATGCTTTTTTTAAGCCCAGCTAGTATCCTTATAATCGTTATTCTGAACTCTAGTTCCGACATCTTACTTATGTCCATACTGATTAGGTCCCTGTCAGTCAGTACCGCCTCTTGTTCTCTTTTTTGAGGTGAGTTTTTCCGTCTTGTTATTCTGTGCAGAGAAGAATAGATGAACGAGAGAACAAAATACTAAAATGGCAATAACAGCCCCAGAGAAACACCCACTAAACAAATCAGAAGAGACCCGAACCCGAAAATAAATAAGTAAATAAATAAAAATTTTAAAAAGAGAGAGAGAATATAATCAGACAACGTGAACAGAACAGAGCAATACACTGGGTCCTGTGTGTATTTTGGTCTGTTACAAAACTAAATCCCAAAACCGTAAAGAAAGAAAAACTAATTTATGTACAAAAATCAACTTAAATACAATGAACAGACAGAATGTAACTGTAAAAATGAAAAACACAAAAGAAAAAAACAAAAAACAAAAAAAGAAAGAGTATAAACAGACACGTGAACAGAACAGAGCTATACACTATATCCTGGGTGTATTTTAGTCTGTCTGTTAGAAGAAACGACATCCCAAAATTGTAAAAAAAGAAAAACTTGTGTACACACACACACACTGAAAGGACAGAATATAACTGCAGAGATGAAAATTTAAAAAGAGTTTAAAAAAAAAAGAATATAATCAGATAGGTGAACAGAACAGAGCAATACACTAGAATCTGGGTGTATTTTGGTCTGTTAGAAGAAACTGCATCCGAAAACTGTAAAAATGAAAATTAAGAAAGACTTAAAAAAAAAAAAGTTAATAAAATAAGAAATTGGTTGAAAAGGAAAGAGAAAAAAACTAAAATTAAGACTAAAGAATGAGAAAAAAAAAAAAAAACATGAATTCTATACACTATTCTCCCCTAGTTCTGGAGTTTTGCAGTTCTCTATGATGGGTAAACATGGTCTTAGCTGGATATTCTTGCTGATCTTCTGGGGAGGGGCCTGTTGCACTGATTCTCAAGTGTCTTTGCCGGGGCGGAGTTGCACTGCCCTTGCCAAGGGGCTAGGCTAAGCAAGCGGCTCCAGATTGCTCTACGTGGCTTTTGTTCCCTGAAGGCTTCCTGCGCAGCTTTAGAGGATGAGAATGAAAACAGTAATCTCCCAATCTCTGGCCCCGGAGTGAAGAGCTCAGAGCCCCACTCCTGTGTGTGCCCTTAGGAAAAAGCAGTTAAACATTCCTGTCTCCCAGGTCTCCAGCTGCACTCTGTGATCACCCGGCCTGTGACCAAGCATTTCTATCTCAGGCACGCGACCCTGCTTCGAGGCTCCAGAAGGGGTGGGTCTTGCCGTGGTTCTGCCGCTTGCTGGGCCCCTGCTTGGAGAACGGTTGCCCAACTGTGCCACAGTCTGCAGTTTATGGCAAAACCAAGCCGAAAGCCCACTCATGGGCTCATTGATAACAGCCGGCTTCCCTACGCCGATGCCTGGGAACTCTGCAACACTCAGGCACCCTGGTCTTTCTTTGACCCCGAGGATCCTGAGACCACACCGTCCCATCTAGGATTCTGCCCCTCTTTGCCACCTGAGCGCCTTTCAGGCAGGGAAGTCCCTCACCAGAGCAGACCTCTAAAAGTTCTGATTTTGCACTCAGCTGCTATATCACCTTCTAGTGCCACCTGCCGGAGCTTCCCATATATCGCCTCGGATTCACTTCTCCATACCCCCTACCTTACAGAAAGTGGTCACTTTTCTATTTGTAGAACTGCAGCAATTCTTTTTTTTTTTTTAAATCATTGATTTTAAAGATTTTATTTATTTATTTAACAGAGAAAGATACAGTGAGAGGGAACACAAGCAGGGGGAGCGGGAGAGGGAGAAGAAGGCTTCCCGCAGAGCAGGGAGCCCGATCCGGGGATCGATCCCAGCACCCTGGGATCACGACCCGAGCCAAAGGCAGATGCCTAACGACTGAGCCACCCAGGCGCCCCAAATTGCAGCAATTCTTTTCTTAGATCCTGGTTGAGTTCACTGGTGTTCAGAATGATTTGATTACTATCTAGCTGAATTCCTGGGACCTGATGAAACTAAGGTCTCCTAGTCCTCCGCCATCTTGGAAAGTTGCCCAGTGAAGTCTTTGCGCATATCATCACTTAAGACACTGCTTCTGTCCTCACATCTCCTGACTCTCCTGCCTCCCCTGTTCACCCTGTGATTACACTGGGCCCATCCAGATAATCCAGGATAATCTCCCCATGTCAAGACCCTTAATCACATCTTAATCACTTTGCCATGTAACCTAACATATTCATAGGTTCTGGGGATTAGGACTTGGACACGGAGGGGGCATTATTCTGCATACCACAGCTATATGTCATCTTGTCAGGAACTGGTGACCAGAGTTTCTAAAACTTGAGTCTACAGCTAGGCTTCAGGTTATCTGTAAAATCCTTGATATTATTGGCAAAATGTTCTATCTTCTGATGTGTTTCTCAAGAGAGAGCCTATAACTTTTGTGATTCTCAAAAGAGCTATGTAAGAGCCCATCACTATCAAACAGTCACTGTCCAAGACCTGACTGAAAGAAGACAGCAAAGACCAACACTATCCCCATAACTATCAGAACACAACACAAATTCCCCCACCTTATACCGTAAGAAAAACTCATTACTTCTTCTGTCCCCTTCTCAGGACATTCATAATTCCACACCGCACACAAACCTCTCCTGAGATAGAGGTGCCTGGGGTCCCAGTTTAAAGGCAGAATAATCCCCCCAGTATGCAAAAAGGGCAACAGTGACTAACAGGCCTGTGGGTAAAAAGTGAGGTGGGATCAAACCTGAAGTCATACAGGACCCCATGCCTGAGCCCTCTTCTTTTCCAGCCAAGCTTCTAATTACAGGTGGAGAAAATAAAAGCCCTTGGCAAAAACAAAGCTGCCTCTTGGCAGAGCAGCTTTCCCAGATCTGGGCCCTTTCTCTTCCTTCTCTTATTCTCAAGAAGGAGAGGCTCACCACCGTGTTCACCCACTCTGATAGCTTTCCTCACATGGCTGCCCAGCATGCTGCTTACCAAAGGCCAGTATTACAGACTTTGGATATGAAATAGACTCTGGATATGAAATGGAACGCTTCTTCATCTGACCCTGAAAAATTTTACTTAGCACAAGTAAATGCCTTAGGAAATAGTGTCTCTCTTACACCTGTGTGCCCAGCCACAAGGGAGAAAAAGGTCACTTACTTTGACTGTAAGGTCTGCCTCGGCCATGTGCCATCTTCATTTTGGGGCTCAATTACTAGCACCTGAGTGAAAGGGGAAACCAAATAAGGAATATGCAAAGCATCTCACTGGTGACGAGCTCAGAACCAGAAGATATCTGGCCACACACCCTGGCAGAGCTGCCTGCTGGGCATGGCCTGAGCCCTCCTACCTGACCCTGGTAGAGCCCAGCATCCTGGACAGTGTTGTCTAGCTTGCTCAGCTGCTCATAGGTGTTGCTCATGTATTTGTTCCATAGTCGTGTTTCACGCTCAGCAGGGATATTGAACAGCTTCCGCATCTCCTTCTCAATGGTTGCTAGAGACAGGCAGAAAGATCACTCAGGATTTCCTCGAGATGCAAGGCTAAAAAGAGCTGTAGCAAGCTAATGCTCATCCTCCTTCCTGTTCGGATGGTCAGTCACAGAGTGCTTTGGACCAAAAGTTCTGACTGACAGCCCCTCGGTTTTTAAGGCCAAATGTCTCCCATGGGAATCCTCTTGCACTCACACACTAGAAACTTTCCCTGTGCTTCTCCTTCTTTAATGAGGTGGGTCCCATTTATAGCACACAAGCAACACAGAAAGGTGAGAAAACTTATCTTTGAAGTTAAGGTAAATGTGGTTTCAAATACCAGCCCTGCCACTTGTTTTTTTTTTTTTTTTAAAAGATTTTATTTATTTATTTGAGAGAGAGCATGAGACAGAGAGAGAGAGCATGGGAGGGGGGAGGATCAGAGGAGAAGCAGACTCCCTGCTGAGCAGGGAGTCCGATGCGGGACTCGATCCCAGGACTCCCAGGATCATGACCTGAGCCGAAGGCAGTCGCTTAACCAACTGAGCCACCCAGGCGCCCCTACCACTTGTTTTTTTTTTAAAGATTGTATTTATTTATTTGACAGAGAGATAGAGAGCACAAGTAGGCAGAGAAGCAGGCAGAGGGAGAGGGAGAAGCAGACTCTCCACTGAGCAGGGAGCCCGACGTGGGGCTCGATCCCAGGACCCTGGGATCATGACCTGAGTCGAAAGCAGCCGCTTAACCGACTGAGCCACCCAGGCGCCCCCCATGCCACTTTCTAACAGAGATTTTTTAATAAGTTACTGTAACCTCTCTGAATCTGCATTTCCTCATCTTTATCACCATTATCACCGCATGTCAGGGATCATGCCCAGTGTTCTATAAAACATGATTCCCAGGCTTAGCTCTCCTCAAGAGCCAGGTCAGGACCAGCACCTACAACCTGAGTCTATGTGGGTAACAATTCTGGAGGGGGTGTCCGGCTTCACACCCATCAGCCACAATGCTCTGCACTCTCCCTCCGGATAAGCAGGACCCCAGCCCAGCTACTCACCGATGGTGTCTGCCTTGCTGAAATGGCAACTCAGCACGTTGGTGGGGTCACTGTTCTCACAGAGCTTCAGTTCCAGCAAATACACCTCCACCTTGCAGTGCTTGACAAACAGGCCATGCTCGACCACCTGCAAACAAGAGGCACAGGTGAAGGAGCAGGGGTTCCACACCAGGCAGTCTTGGAAACAATAGGTTTCATTAGTGGTAAGAGGCAGAATCCACACAATAATCATTTTCCCTAAGTGATCAGGGGATCAGGACAGATTTTTAAAGCCACCAGCAACTGTCCAAGAGTTGAAAATCTTTCTCCCCTTCATGAGGGAGAGCACCCGGATGGAGCCAGAGCTAGCTACAACACTGCCCAAAGGGAAGCCACTGTTCATCTCTAAATCAGGATCATGAGGTTTCCCTTGCAGGGTTTGTCAAATGAAAGGACTAGAGAACGTAGCTAAATCCCTGTGGTAGCAGAACACTCACCATATGGCAACACTGTGGGCATGAGGGGACATCTGCAGGAGACTGGCATACCCCCAACTTTTTGATCCCTAACCCCTCTCAGGGGCCCAGGTTTCCAGCTGGAGAAAGAAGGTCGTTCTGGCCCCAAACAATGACTTTTACTTAGAAGCATGGCCTCAGGACTGCAGATCTTTCCTACTCTGAGAAGGGAAACTACATACCAGGGAGAGTGAGAAATTTACCCAATGTCTACCTATTAGCAGGCATGTGATGTCCCCTCTGGTAGGACAAGCAAATGACTGTGAGAGTCAGGGTGGATGGTCTTCTCCTAAGTCCCATCTACCAGAGGGGTAAAGAATCTGGGTTTCGATCGTATGGCCCGCTTTCCCTCAGGAGGCTATTCTTCTCTGGTTTATGAACACCTGCTTTTTGAGATATTCAACAGTGTGGCCAAAGACTCATAAGCATAGAGGAAAAAGCAGTCTCAGAGAAGTTGTAAGATAAACAAGAAGCAGTACATTACTGTATGTCCATATGACCCCAAGTAAACTCTCTCTCATAGAGCCTTCCAGAAAGTGCTCTCATGGCACTACTGGATACATCCCAAGCCACTGGGCAGCTCTGATGTTTGGAGGCCACTCACTGTAACATCTCAGGTGAGCAACCTCACTCACCACCACTCACGACCACAATTCCCTAAAGAGAACCAGAAACAAGGCCTCAAACACCTCTATTCGACCACTTAGGTACATCCAGTAGCCGAGAAAGCCAACACCAGTCAGTGTCCCCAGGGAGCACTCGCAGACACTGACGAGCAACTGCGACAATTCGTGTACTCACTTTTCTGACAATGGGCTGCTGGCCTTCTACACAGCCATACCAGTTTAGTAATTTATTCCAGGCCTCTGTTGGGACCAATACATAGTCCAATTCATCAATTAAATGTTCTTTCAAGGTCTGACTCTCAGGATCTGAAAAAAGAAAACAGCTCATAACTCACTGCTCTTCTCCCCAGAAATATTTGTTTTACAGGATTCTTATGTACTTTTCAGAAATAAGAAAATTATTTATAGGAACAAGTACAAAATTCCAAAATTCTGTCACTGGCCATAACACAGAGCAGACCTGACAACTGTCTTCAGCCACGCCTTCAAAGGAACGTGTATTTCTTCTATAATGAAATGGAGTAGGGAGAATAAAAAACTCCAATTTACATTTTCAACATGCTTCCAGATTCCACAATGAAAACTGTTAATTACGAATATTTAACATAATATTCTGCTTAGTGAAACTTCACTGAGGTCAAGTATCTTCTGAAAGATTTACTAAAAAGCAACAAACCCATCATTGAAGTTAACTTTATTTTACCAAGAGTCATTCAATATTCTTAGTTTTCCAGTCCAAGTCAAAACCCAGCTGGACAACCCCTTATGGAGGGGGAATGTCTTTAACACCCTAACATGCTAAACATCCACCTCACACCTACCACAGGCAGGCAACATGACTAGGAGTCAGAAGCGGACATCCACAATCAGAAACACACCCTCAACTGACGACCAAGGAACTGGATCAAGGGAACACTGATCACCTCCCATCAACAGAGCCTCTCTGTGCCCAGCAACACCCAGTCCTGCTGTAGTGGGTACAAAAGTACCCACAATGGTGCAACTCATCTGTAACTCAAGGCATATGATGGGTTTTTT